TTTAAGTGTAAGGAAAATGGCCTCAACAAAGTGGCTGGCACTAGATGGTCTAGAGTAATAAAGATGGAAACTGTTAGTTATCGAGAGACAAGCTGTTTGCAATAAAAACACAAGCATACATACAAAGTAATCCGTACTATAATATTATAAATGCGAAAGTAACACTGTCTGTCTGTTACTCTTTCACGCCAACACTACCGAACGGATTTGAATGAAATTTGATACACAGATGGTTTAGACCCTGAGAAAGAAACTTTTTATTGCGAAAAGGGGGTTATAAGGGGTTAAAAGGGGGGATGAAATTTTGTATGGAAATTCGTGTTTTTGAAGCTAGAACAATGAAACTTTCTTTCTTTGGCTTTTTGGACATAGAAGTGGGAGTGGGAATGAGAGTGGTAGTGGGAGTTAGAGTAGGAGTCATGTGAGGTGAGAGTGTTGCGGCAAAGTAGCACTTACAACATAGATTGGCTGCGAAAAATACGCAATTACATAAATTAATAAAACAGCTTAAATAATTAAAAATTCTACTCCACGTCACTATTCCACGCGAACGAAGTCGCGGTAGATCAAAACGTTTATTAAGCTTATAGTGATAAGTTACTTCTAAATTCTATTTTTATTAGTATATTTTTAATTCTATAATAATAAAAAAATAAAACAGTGATTAGTTGGTTTTGAAATATTTGTCGTCGAGTTGAAAGGTTGAAACTTTGAAAGCACGCCGTACCGTCCACAATTTTATATTTTAAAACGTTAAAGTTTAAATGTCTTTAAACCAAAAGTTCGATATGTGCCGAATGTCAAATGTGCTTATTTGGCATCAGCGTTGAAATTAAAAGGCTTCCTTTATGATATCATAAACCTGATTCCCAGCCGTGGGATTTAATAAGACGTTGAAGGATTATAGATTATACTACGTTTAGAACGATGTTACGATGATGTTGACATCCACAGATAACAAAAAAATCACTAACGCTTGGTTAGTAGCAGCCCTATGCGTTCATAGAATCATTAGCGTCAGTCGGGTCGTTTGTTAGAACCATCCGCGGTCCGAGACGCGTTTTTGTCCCCGAGCCAAATTGCATCCCAACAATACGTGCGCCACCAAATTGATTTTCAACTAATTGCGTTCTACAGTGCTTTTAATTACGTAAAGTACCTCACTGAATCCCCGGAGAGATTTATAGATGGCCTTAAATTATTCGTTATCCGGATTCCGGAGGTATATGACATTAATTTATTCGTTACTAAGAATATTACTACTCTGGTCTTAAAGCCTTGACTTCTTATTAGTCTAAATCTTCTGCATAAATAATGTATTGCCAATTTTTGTATCAAAAGATTTAGATAAAATTCTCTTTTAAATAAAACGCTTTAACGGTTTAAAACGCGATATATTAGTTAAACTTATTTGGAAATGATTTTTAACTTCGGCCCGACGTTTCGGATGCTTTGCAGCAGCCGTGGTCACGGGGAGACCACAGCTGCTAATATATCGCGTTTTAAATCGTTAAAGTGTTTTATTTAAATGTGTACTACTCGCGTAAACTATAGACAGTATTTAAAATTCTCTTATTTGTCTTCGTTATTATCAGGTGGAAATTTTTAAATTTTAATAAAGGAAAGTTTTACCATAGAGCTTTAAAAATCTTCGTGTAGGGAATAAATAGGACTAAAGGGACTTGTAAAAGAGGAGAAATTTTTGTAAATATAACTTTATAAACACCTTTAACTATTTATAATGTGTAAGTTACGCTATAAATAAAACTGTTTAAAACGCGACATATATAACTTAACTCTTAACTACGGCCCCAAACTAAATTTTAATAGTTACATTCTTCGTTTTAAACAGTTAAAACTTTATTTAAATTCGCCTTAATCGCTTAAACTACAGGCAGTACTTTATGTACATATCATTTTCGTCACAAGCAAGCGATCACATTAGTGCGATCGTGTGATATTAAAAAAATCCGCCCGCGAGTATGTCCATTTCCGTGTCAGTAAACGAATGTCCATTAGTGGGGATTCGGGCCTCCCTCGAAACGTAATTAATACTCCATTATCCGACATTGCTGTTCATAGATCTTAACGTTTTCTTCCAGTACGCTTTGAATGAATGAATAACGAAACATTAAATTAGAAATTAATTCACGAAGACTTCGAAAACTAACATGTAATATAAATAATAGACAAACAAAATGAAATAGATTATCTTTTAACGCGACATCGTTACTTTTATCTTTTTAATTTAGTTTATTTAACACTAAAACTTTATTCAACTTTATTTGTATCATTACATCTATAGTAATATTATAAAGCTGAAAAATGTGTTTGTTTAAACACGCTAATCTCAGGAAGTACAGTTGCACATTTTTTTTTTTTGGATAGACCATTTATCGAGAAGGGCATTAGGCTATATAAAATTGACTAATAGGAGCGAAGAAATTATGGAAATGTGACAAAACGACAATTATGAGGGACTATGTATGTATGCAATAATGATTCCTTAAGTGGTCAAAAAATATTTACTTTAATGTTTTTTTTTTTCAAGAATGACGGGACGCGGACGCAGTCGGGGGCACAGCTAGTCCCAAATAAAATAAGGCATTTTTTGTACACGTACTTGTCTTAACAATGCGTCAAGTTAGTTCTGGACTTGCCTTGACGCAAGCTAAGTCCAGAAACTGATAAAACCGATTAATATTACATTAGTAGCTCATTCAAATGCGTTGTAGCATAAAAATAAATTCACGTAGGCCGCGCTAGACCATTGTGTTCTGTAGAGGGATGTACATTTATTATCTGTATATCAATCTAATGCTAACTGTTATAACAATGCGTGGCCTAAGTGCTCACAAAAATTAAAAATTGTTATTAATATTTGGGTAATAGACGTTAAGACTCCGGTGTCTGTATAAAGTATGAAATTACTAAGGCAAGGAACATATTTCTTCTTTATCAGCAAGGTGAGAGCTGCTCAACCAAAAGAATATTTTTTTACCAGGATTCGAACCCAGGAACTCTCCTGCTTAGCGCAATGCCAAGCATGTTAACCCTTGTTAGTACAAGGCAGAGACGGCAATTTTCTTTACAACAAAATTATATTAAAATATTATAAGTAAAAAAGACATCACTCACTTAAGATGCATTTCAAAGTCCCCCAGTAACCACATCTGCAATTAAGCATAACGTCGGGTCGTAGTTTAAAAATACCTAGTATATTTCGCGTTTTAAACTGTTTGATTAAATGTGTACTAAGCAAAACTACAGACCACACTTTACAAAACCAAACTGGTTTTGATAAGTTACCACAATAGTAGTTATATGCACGCAATTATGTCAGTGAAATTGGGCCTCAGAAATCTGTGAATCTGTCCTGAACGTTGAATTACGTTCAGAGCTCGATGTTAGAAATTATGGACCGTATAATTAGAGGCTACGGTAGATGAACCTAATCGTTTACGTAAACAAGTATCTTTTATATTCAAATTTGAGCCCATTTACGTCATTGGCAATTTTAATGTGGATGAAGTTTTATGTAAATCGCATTAAACTGCGGCCAATTAAAATTATGTAATGCTAATAATATTGTACAAAGGTTGCTTCGTGCGACGGAGGGGTTGTTTTAGAGAAGATAATAATTATGGGGAATTATTTTACTTTTACACATAAATTCATTGCCAGAAATTTAAGGGCTCCCTTCTGAGACTAAGACGGAGGGTTTTAGTAGAATGTAGAGTTAATTATTTGTTGTTTTCTAAAAGACAGGCACGTAGGCACGTTTTTTTTTCTGTATATATTTCCAATATAAGTAATAGTTTCTCGCACGTACGCAACCTATACTCATCGCAAAACTTAAAACACACCTTTTATTACGTTAACGTGGCGTAACGAAACATAATTAATTTGAATTAATTAATAGAGTTAAATTCATATTATTATAATTGATGTAGTTATGATATATTTAAAAACTGCCCTCAATTCAATTTAACGTATATTTTGTGAGATATGCGCGGTCACTCATGGTGATGGATTTTGCACGTTGTAATATTATTACATATTAAATTTATAGGTATATAAACACAAATGTGTTGAAGAATTTTCATTTAACGTTACACAGATAGAGCTTTTAAATTTTAACTTTAAAATAATTAAAAAAAAACGCTTTTATCGAATTTAAAACGCGAAATGTATTAACAGATTTTTATGTACGAAAATGGAAGGAGTTTACGAAAATGTCTAGTATTCATGCAGACTACACCGTTTTGTGGACTTACGGATATTGTTATAAACTAATAGTTTGATCTCATAATTAATTATGAAATATGACAGGGCAAAGCATATACACAGTTTATATTATTTCTTTTAATCATAAAAATTAGTTATTTCTAGTCATGTTAGTTACAAGTTTAACCGTAAGTTATTCATAGATAATAGTTAAACCACTATGGAATCTACATATTGAGACAGGTCTAAGATATATTAGTTCCTGTTTAGCTGTCCAGAACAGGACACTTCCTATCCATTATGCATGCAAATAAATGTAGCGTGGTATACCAATGTTTTAGTTTAAGAATATTGCAATTAATTTAGTATTTAAACTTTAACAATAATGTATCCCTAAACAATGTTCTCTAGAGCAGGTTTAATAATATATGTATAATTCTATTTTATTGTTGTAGTATGTCAACTGAAATATAATTAAGGTGACAAAGACTTGGATGGATTGTACTACAGTAAGGTAAACCATTCTAATAAAAACCGATATGGTCTTTTAACTGAATATTGCATTTAGAGAGTAAAGTGGTTTAAAAAACCTGTATGAGAAGACTGGAAGTCAAATTAAAGAAGACTGTCCTAAAAGTGGGAAACGATAAAGAGCAACAAATGACACAAATAAAAATATTTATGGTATTTTTTTTCTTCATAAATAAATATAGGTATATTTGTTGGGTATTTGAAGTAGACAAAATTCATAATTGTGTTTTGAAGGCACTCACCTTACAAATAGTTGTTCTTGATTGTTAACACGCCATGATACTACTGTTGCACCTAAAAATGCAAACGAACTTTTAAAAAAGTTAACATCACTCATTATAATTTTTGGCCTATACATATATCTAATTTTTAAATATAAGTATATGGTCTCAGTCTAGATTATAGAATAATTGCTAAATCTAGATTCTAGAACCTCATTATCTAAATTCAATTTAGTGACTACTAAGTCTGAAGGAGACATAGAAATAGAGGAATTACAACATCCTATTACATACAAATTTACAAGTTATTAATGTTGTTTAACAACTTATGAGATTTTTTGTGAGTACATCAAATAATCATTTACAATTTAGAAGTAAGTATCAACGATTTACTTCCTACAATCCAATATACAAGGTCATATAGCCGCAGACTTGGTCTACGAAATGAAAAAACTAGTTGCCGCCTATTATACTGAATCTGACACCAATAGACAATTTAACATTGGCTCCTTGGACGTTGTATATGCCCTCCAAAGAAAAAAACATTCATTTTATCATAGCAAAATTTAGTTTTAAATAGTTTGAAAAGTTCCGCGCATCATTTGAATATAAATAAAAAATAAGATGTACAGGTTATCCGGCTTTTACATTATTAAGGTAAAAGAAAGTACAGAAATAAATTTTTGACTATTAATTGATTTAATAATAATCTAATGTGTTATAAATATTTACTCACCGAAAAGATTTACGGTACAAGTTGTATTATTGCCTCTGTCGAGAACGACAACACTCGTCGCTGCCATTTTCCAATTGACAGCGAAGCCAACTGCCAAAATTTCGAGATGGGAATTTCAACAAGCTAGTGTTGACCAACAGGTTGCGTAGCTATCAATCGTAAAACCGAATCGTTATGACTATAACCGGTTTTATGTAGTTACTTGTATAACATTGTCACTTGAATACAAAATGGAATATGAGAATATTGGGATAAAATGATTAAGTACCTTCTTAAAATAATTGTTTTTGATAGTGCTAAGTTTTTTATATCACATAACTACTATTTTTATAAAAAATTGAACGCATTGTTATTTAGCCAATAAGAATTGGACAACGCTGTGCCGTCTCCTGTCACTTTCGGCATCATACGTGTATTTTTCCGGTCCCTACTTAATATTTTTTAGCTTCACTTTGTCGACGTGAGATAACGTGAAGCACGTAAAAATGTTAGGCGTATTCAGAGTAGTTTTACTTTTAAGTGTAATTTATTTATGTAAGGCTTCTGAGGAAGATGTATTAGATTTGACTGATGGAGATTTTGAAAGTGCGATATCTCAGCATGACACCGCATTGGTCATGTTTTATGCACCATGGTGAGTAACACAGAGATTTTTGACCCCAGGAAGTCCTGGAAGGTAGTTCTCAACCTTAACTTTAATAATTATGCTTCAGGTGCGGCCATTGCAAACGATTGAAACCGGAATATGCGGTAGCGGCCGGCATCCTTAAGACCGATGACCCTCCAGTGGCCTTGGCTAAAGTTGATTGTACCGAAGGAGGCAAGAGCCTCTGTGAAAAATATTCTGTGTCTGGTTACCCTACCCTGAAGATCTTCAGAAAGGGAGAGCTTTCTCAGGAATATAATGGCCCAAGAGAATCAAGTGAGTTTGTATGAATATTTAACTTTATTTTATTTATTTATTTTATTCATTCAAAACTCTATATGTATGACATATTCTATACTGAATCTCTATATACCTATCCACATTTTCTTATTTCATATTTTAATAAGGAGAGATAGTTAATGAGTGATGTTTATATAATATATTGTATAAAATGTACATAATTTACACTAATGTCTTGATCAATATAGATGGCATTGTGAAATACATGCGTGCTCAAGTTGGTCCAAGCTCCAAAGATCTGCTTACGGTTGAGAGCTACGAAGCCTTCCTTAACAAGGATGAAGTGGTTGTAATTGGTTTCTTTGAGAAGGAGTCTGATCTTAAGGGTGACTTCCTCAAGGTTGCTGATAAAATGAGAGAAGAAATCACATTTGGTCACTCTTCTGCTAAAGAGGTCTTGGAGAAATCTGGATACAAGTATGTTTATTTCTGACCTTAATCTTAAGATTTTTAATGCCTTGGTAATTTTAACATTTTGTCTTATGTAGTCAATATTTAAAGTCTTTAAGTAGGTATACAGGGTGTCCCAGGAAGTAGTGTCAAGCGGTGGTCCCAAGATAGAACACCCCTTGGAGCATCCGAAACACCCCCATGTATGTTCTGCGATTATTTATAATTTTCGAGTTACGATTTTTTTCTAAATTTTTGAAAATTTTTGACCTAAACAACTTAAATGCTAATTTAAAAAAGTTGATAAGACTTTTTCTAGATTTTTTTTTCACATCTCAATAAGCATGAGTTGTACATTAATAATTAAAACATTTGTCTTCGTAACCTTAACGGAAATTAAAATATGATGGTTCAAAGTAAAAAAGTTACGAGCAGTGAATTGCGTTTTAAATTTTTAACTTTAAATTTAAAATATTAATAGGTAGCTCTGTAGCTCATAAGTAAGTTTAAAAACTGCGCCAGACTCTCAGCTTTAATAATCATTTAAAAAAAGGACTACATAATAAGCTAGTTTTCCTAATGCGGACCTCAAAGACAGATAGGCGTAAAAATGTAATTAATAACTATAATTAATAAACATTTAGCGCTGCCTCAGTAGATTTTAGTCGATTAACAATCGAATTGTCTTCAGGAATAATAAAATGTTTAAAAAGGTTCCAAATAATATGGCTAATTTTAAAAATTTACTTCAAGAATGCAAAAAAAACAATCTCGTTGCCAAATGGCTATTTATTACATTTTTACGCCTATCTGTCTTTGAGGTCCGCATTAGGAAAACTAGCTTATTATGTAGTCCTTTTTTTAAATGATTATTAAAGCTGAGAGTCTGGCGCAGTTTTTAAACTTACTTATGAGCTACAGAGCTACCTATTAATATTTTAAATTTAAAGTTAAAAATTTTGAAACGCAATTACTGCTCGTAACTTTTTCACTTTGAACCATCATAGTTTAATTTCCGTTAAGGTTACGAAGACAAGTGTTTTAATTATTAATGTACAACTCATGCTTGTTGAGCTGTGAAAAAAAAAACTAGAAAAAGTCTTATCATCTTTTTTAAATTAGCGTTTAAATTGTTTAGGTCAAAAATTCTCAAAATTTTAGAAAAAAAATCGTAACTCGAAAACTATAAATAATCGCAGAACATACATGGGGGTGTTTCGTATGCTCCAAGGGGTGTTCTATCTTGGGACCTCCGCTTGACACTGCTTCCTGGGACATTTTGTATATGTAGTGAAAAAAATGGTCATAAAATATTGATTGAACTCTTGATTTTTCATTTCAATAGAGTAATACATTTTTTTTAACTAAGCTGATAGTAAAAATAGTAGCCTTGTGCTGATAATAACAGTAGGTAGTTTGTAGATAAGCTAGAAATGAGCTCAAATTGCAAATTATAATTGTCATTAAAATATTTATACTTTCCACTGCAAAGAATTGAACAGTTAAAACTGATAGCTTATCAATAGTATTATTGTTCTCTGTTTAGATGCATACTATCAAAATACATTGTTATTAAAAATATGTTTCAAGTTTAATGGTTCCCGTCAATCGTATTATGTCATTTGATATAAGTATGTATATATAAAATTGTTATATGTATGAACATAAAAACAAATCAATTAATAAAACTTTAAGTGGTGTAGCTTAAATTTTGAGGAGGAAAAATGTTTTTTTTAAAAAACAGGAGGATTCAATCTTATACTTAAAATGATAGCAAACATATAAGGGAATCAATAAAATAACAAGCTAACATCAAAGAATAAAAGATAGAACAAATAATAAGGCATTGGCAGATAATGTGGACTGATCATCCAGTCTACTACCTATGTCCCCAATAGAAAATAATAAAAAAAGTAAATTGTACTCTTGAATAGAAACAATGTGGTGCTCTACCGTCCTAAACGCCTGCAAAACAAGTTTGAAGAACCATCTGTTGAATACAAGGGTGAAGAAGATTCTCTGAGGGCATTCATCAAGGCTAATTAGTGAGTATTCATTTTATCATATTATCATCTTAATTTTATAACACATCCTTATTTTTTCAATGTTTTTCTGATATAAATAATGCAAACCCAGTCAATAAAAAATAGCAGAAGTAATTTATAGAAATAAGGTATGTAATCTTACCAATCAAGCTTGATTGGTAAGATTACATACCTTGTTTCAGCACAGTTTCTAACAGTATTGAAGAACATTATTGTTTGTATTTCCCTCTCTATCTCTGCAATAACATTGTTTAAAATTTCAGCCACGGATTAGTTGGAATTCGCCAGAAAGACAACGTCAGAGACTTCACTGATCCTTTGGTTGTTGCCTACTATGATGTAGACTATGTCAAGAACGTTAAAGGAACCAACTACTGGAGAAACAGAGTACTTAAGGTAAAATTTACATTGGTGTTACATTCAGCTAAGTGAAATTTTAATCTAGAAACCTCTCTTGATTAGTTATAACATTATTAAAATATGTAATTTCAGTTAAATTTTAAAGTAAGGTCAGTAATTTAAAAATCATTTACAAATTCTTGCAAGTAATTTTACCATTGTCATTTTGATTTGAATTTGATGATAATAGGTTGCCAAAGAAGTTGATGAGGTAAACTTTGCTGTCAGTGACAAAGATGACTTCACCCATGAACTGAATGACTATGGCATTGACTTTGCAAAGGGTGACAAACCAGTTGTTGCTGGACGAGATGCTGATGGCAACAAATTTGTAATGTCCCCTGAATTCAGGTATGTTTACTAAAAACTCTTTCTGTGTATGTCTCTCCTTCACTGAACTCTATATACTAAAACAAGTATATCTTTTGCTTTGATGTCTATCATTGACTTCTTGAAAAAATACCTGAAATATAGTACAAAGGTAACTTCTCTTGTGATAAGAATGATAGTTTGAGTGTTGAATGCAATGATGTTTATTATTTAGTTTTAGCTAAACTTCTAGTTTAGCTAAAACTAAATAACTTACTCCAGTTACTCTTATTAACAGATGTATTAGAATAAATATGCTTGTTGAAGAACCTCAATCTAGTTTCATATATCAAATATTTATTTCTCAACAGCATTGAAAGCCTGCTAGCCTTCAGCAAAGACCTTCTCGCTGGTAAACTAGAGCCCTTCATCAAGTCTGAACCAGTACCTGAGAGCCAGGGTGCTGTCAAGGTGGCAGTCGGCAAAAACTTTAAGGAAATTGTCACTGACAGTGGTAGGGATGCCTTAGTTGAGTTTTATGCTCCGTGGTGTGGACACTGTCAGAAGTTGTCTCCAGTATGGGATGAACTTGGAGAAAAGGTATGCATACCAATATGAACGATTTATCTTTTGACAATTTGTAAAAATTGCCATTTCACTTCACTAAGAAGTGGAAAGAAAACATTTTTGTGAAAGAATATATTGTAGATATGGGATAATTCAGTTTTCTAATATATAAATCTATGTTTTAATTCTATAGTTAGGATAACAAAGTAACTCAAAGAATTCTTGAGAATCTAATTAATAATAATAAAAATTAAACCTCCTTTGCCAACAGCTCAAGGATGAGGAGGTTGACATAGTGAAGATAGATGCCACAGCCAATGACTGGCCTAAATCTTTATATGATGTGTCTGGTTTTCCAACTATCTACTGGAAGCCTAAGGACAGCAGCAGGAGACCAGTGAGATACAATGTAAGTTAAAAATTTAATAGTTTGTTACAAGCCGCTGTGAAACAACTCATTAGATTAGGCTATAATTAAAATTTAAATATATAATTACATTTTGATGTCCTCTCCGTATCCTATGGCACAAATACAAAGGTAAAGTGTGTAGTATATCTTATTATGCCTTTATTTCAGGGTGGACGAGCTGCAGAAGACTTTATCAAATACGTATCAGAACAAGCCACTGATGAGCTTAAGGGTTGGGATAGGAAGGGCAATGTAAAGAAAGACGAGCTGTAGAGTTGTGATTCGCTTTCCATTAAAGATCTGTGAAAGAATGAGTGTGTGATTGAGTCTTGGTATATATACATGTTGGTGTTTGCACAATTGTATTGTACAAAACTGTATAGTAATAACTCTTTGTTCGATAAATTTAACTACAGCCAGATAAGGTACAGCCCTATGTTAGGAGATATGTTAGTATCAGGAGAGTGATAGACTGTACACTTATAACTGAATACTATGTTATGTAAAATTGTATGTCAACTATTCATAGTAGTGATATTAGTATCCAACACTATACTGCCTGGGTCCTATTTCATCTGTCCACAATAATGTGTATCGTTTTGCCACTCAGTATTCTTGCACAATTACTTCTCAATATCTGAGAAATCAAAAATACAGTTTATTTTAATAATGTTGTGGCGATTGCTTATTTGTGACAGAAGATTTGGAATCGTTTTGACATTTTTATGTCAAAATATTTTTACAAAATGCACCAATAATCTTGTTTAATGGTAAATTCATATCAATAGCTATTACTGTAAACACCATTTAGGTTAAAATATTTACGTATCCAATTATTCCTCTTGTATAACATTTAGATAACATTCCACCCCCTAAATTTTATACGAGAGATATTTAAGTTAATTATTGAGTTTATCATTAACTATCGCAAAATTAACTTAGATGGTAACTCAATAAGTCTAAATACAGTAATATTATGCATTTCTTTATATTTCTCAGTGGGATAATAAATAGGTTATTTATATGTTTTGTTTTATTTATCCGCAATTAAAGTTCTAGGTCCTAGGAACATGAAAATTAATTATATGTATTTGTTGTAGTAGTATTTGTAAAAAAATACTATGGAAAGTATACAATTATAGTTTAAAAGATATAAGTGCGCAAAGGGAATATACAATGAGTAAACAGAAATTTCTTATAACACTAAGCTGGGATAGAATAATACTAGGTGTTGTAATTATTAACTCATATATTTTGTTCCTTCCACCTTTCAATCCATTCAATGATCTTTTCAATATTTTCTTGTAGTTGTTCTGGAGTTTCATTCTGTAATTGCATTATTATTTCTGGTTTGTACGAAGATTGGGCCTCCTCTAGTAATGTCTCAAAGATTTCGCACTGTATGTTGTCTTCTAATTTCTTACCAGTATATCCCCTAGAATTGGTTTAAAGACATATTAATATTAAGTCCATAGGCAATAAAAATTTCAAGATGTTAATATAATATTTCAATTCATTATAGTTGTGGAAAGTATTTATTTAATTTAAAACAGACCATAAATGATAATGAGTGAACTATCAATCATGTTTCAAACAAAAAACATATTAGTAGTTTGCAGACAGGGATATATTATCTCATGGAAGTATTGAATCTATTTACCTTGCAGATAACCTGTCATAAAGGGTAGTGTTGTTTGTTCGTATTACAAAAACTCCATCAAACCATCGTTCTGGGAAGAATTCACATCCATGATAGTCAACTATATTGCCACCTTTTGCCATCATTCCTTCCATAATATCCAGTAGCTAAAATAAATAAAAAAAATACTTTTACAGCAAGTTCATGTTTCTTACGTTGTTGTATGATAGTATTGTTTGAAAATCTTTATAGAACTATAGGTAATTTAGGTGTAGTAGAAAGTAAAAATATTGTTTAAATTAAAATTTAATTAATATCAATTCAAATTGTTATAAACGATTGAAAGTTTGGCATGGACTACAAGTTTTTTTTTTTTAATTTAAATTAACCATGTTGTCAGAGCAACAGTACCTTATCTTCATTAAGAAACGGGCATTGATACTCTGCATCATACTCATCAAGACAATTATGTTCTTCCGCTAATTTTGAAACCTCCCTCCAAGCGAATTTAGTACGCTCAGCTAACTTCTTGCTGATAGTCGACTTTCCCACACCAGGTGTTCCTAAATAGTCAAAATATTAATAAGAGTCGGAGTAAAAACATAACCAATATTAACAACAACAAAGTAACTAATAACCTGTTACGAGTATATTAGGAAGAGGTCTATTTAAATTCATTTTAGAGTTAGAATTGGTGGTTTTTTTACATTTATACCGGCATCAAAATGTAAAAAAGAAAACGTTTGTTTAAAAGAAAAAATCAAAACGTGAAAAGTAACCTATAAAATTAGGTGTTATGAGTTGTCAATGACACTAATAACTACATCACTTTTTATCTGCGATTTGAAATTATTATTTTATTTAATATTAAGATATAGACTTTTATACTAAAAAAATGCTCATGAGATTTAATTATTAGAAGTTCTGCGATGGCGAGTGTTTAGTATTTTTTTAATTTTAAAGAAGGATGGATAATATGTTCTTTTAGATTAAGAGATATAAATTTATGTGAAATGCACCCCCATCAATACAAACTATTGCTTTGTAAAATTATACTTATACTTAAACATATAACATTTGATTAAATTATATAAAAAATCTGATATTTTGAAATGATGTTTAAGGGCATATAAAGCTGGATGTAGGTAACCTTTCTATAATCTATAGTCGAGTTGCTATCAAACTACTATAAAGTATAAATGTGAACATAACTGTGTTTACGTTAGTTACTGGTATAAAAATATTTTTTTCACTTTAATACTGAATAATTTTTTTGGAAAATTAAATAGTAGGTGTGGTTACTTTTAAAATATTTCCAATGAGCACAATGGAAATAATCGTTAATAAAAATATTTTAAAATTAAATTCATGATAATATAGATTCTTACAAAATCTATTTATTTTAAGTTCGTTTTGTTGTATTCTGTCATATTATTACAGCAAAAGCAAGATTCCTTTTTATAAAATTATATTCCAGTTATTATCGTAGAACTTGCTAGCATTCCACAGTTAAATGAAATACTTACCACAGACAATTAAAATAAGGTGATTTGTTTGTGTCTACGGCTGCGTAAAAACTAAAAATTCAAAGCAAAAAAAGTTATAGGTTATATTCCAATGTTACGAAACATAGAATATAACTTAGGAAACGAAGTATTCATTTGATAATGAGAATTCGTAGACCTCGATATATAACAAATGGACAAATCGTTTTGGTTACTGTTTTAGGCGTTCTTGGTGGAGTTTACATTTGGAGACCGCTCATCGAAGAATATTACGTTAAAAAACGTATCCCTCAGGCTAATTCTGCACCTCAGAATCCTGAACAATAACAATGAACGTATTTCAACGGTTCATGAGACAATCTGGCCTACTACCCAAAGTTTTTATGGGTATAGCTATTACCAGTGCTGCTGTAGTGGCCCATAGAATGTGGTCGGGACCTTACTTTAGAAGGCAAAGATATAAAAAGGCTGAAGCATGGGCTGAAATGATTATTGAACAAGAGGAACAAGATAAATAATTAGTGTTATCATTCATTATTTTAAGTACACCACATTGCTTTGTACTTTATAGCTTTTAGAAGTATATAGCAAATAGTCAATGTTTATTATAGTAGTTATTTTTCATTTTATTACGACTTTTATTGCTATCTCCTTGAAATACACTCTCAATGTTCATCTAAGTTTATAAATCATTTTAATATCGAATTGCATAGTCATTCTTTATATGATGAGTGTAGTTAAAGATGTTACTCATGCACCATTAAAGCGAAGAGGTATAATATTATTAAATTTATCACTAGTTGTTAATCATCACAAAGCACCTATAATTTTCAATCAAATAGCTTTAAAATTTACCTGAACACTAAAGAGTATTTTAATTTTCTAGGCACACAACTATCACTTTTTGTCACCACATTAAGTTAATTTTCTCTGTATGTATTAATTGTAGGCAAACATACAACCTCATTCTCTATTTTAAAGTACAAAAATAAGTAATAGTATATGCAAGATTCTGAGAATGTATGTATCTAGGGGACAACCTAGATATTAACGGAAATTACCGAAGTAAATTCCTATGAAACGTGAGAGTTCAATGACTTGTGACATGAAAATTTGCTACTTCAAATCAGCTTAAAATAGTTTTGCTCTAGAATTTCGTTTTTAGTGACTTTTTAAGCAAATTGCTTAGAGTATGTACTTAAAGTTCTATATTTTATAGAGCTAATAATAACATTTTAAAGCAATAAATAATAAATGTCTCAATAGTTAAAATTTATTATTTATGTATAAGAAAATATTAGTGTGGCTACCAAAATACAGTTATTGTTTTTTTAATGTAATAAAATAATTGATGGGTAAAAAAAAACTATATTTTTTGTAGGCTACTTTATTCTATGAATTTACATATTAGTTGGAAGTCGTAACAAAATATCTCAGATATATAATATAACCTTATAAATTATAAAATAATGTTACAGTATAAGCCTTGTAAAAAATATAGAAAAGGAATGAGTTTGTAGCCTTCTTTCCTTCGGAACACCTTGCGGTGTATGAAGTATCGCAGCTGGATGAAAAATTGTGCAGTCGACAATGTTAGCTACTTCTTGCCCTTGGTGGCCTTCTCGGCAGCCTTGGTGACCTTGCCACTGCTAGCGTCCTTGAAGTTTACAGCCTTGATGACTCCTACAGCCACAGTCTGCCTCATGTCACGGACAGCAAAACGTCCCAGAGGTGGGAATTCCTGGAAGGACTCCACACACAAAGGTTTGGAAGGAACCAGGTTGACGATGGCAGCGTCACCAGATTTGATGGATTTAGGGTTGTCTTCAGTAGATTTACCAGAACGACGGTCAACCTTTTCTTTGATTTCTGCGAATTTGCAGGCAATGTGGGCTGTGTGGCAATCCAGTACTGGTGTGTAGCCATTGGAGATCTGTCCAGGGTGGTTCAATACAATGACTTGAGCGGTGAAGTCAGCAGCTCCCTTGGGTGGGTTGCTCTTTGAGTCACCAGCGACGTAACCACGACGCAATTCCTTGACTGAGACGTTCTTAACGTTGAAACCTACATTGTCTCCAGGCACAGCCTCTTGGAGAGCTTCGTGATGCATTTCAACTGACTTAACTTCAGTGGTAATGTTGGCAGGGGCAAATACAACAATGGTACCAGGCTTGAGAACACCAGTTTCCACTCTGCCAACAGGTACTGTTCCAATACCACCAATTTTGTATACGTCCTGAAGAGGAAGACGCAGAGGCTTGTCTGTGGGACGAGCTGGAGGTAAGATGGCATCAAGAGCTTCAATCAGGCATTTACCCTCAGCCTTGCCTTCTTTGCGCTCCACTTGCCATCCCTTGAACCAGGGCATTTTGGTAGATGCCTCCAACATGTTGTCTCCATGCCAGCCAGAAATGGGTACAAAGGCGACAGCAGCTGGGTTGTAACCAATCTTCTTGATGTATGAGGAGACTTCCTTCTTGATTTCCTCGAAACGGCCTTCATTGTATGGGGGCTCAGTTGAGTCCATTTTGTTGACACCAACAATTAGTTGCTTGACACCGAGAGTAAAGGCGAGAAGCGCGTGTTCACGGGTTTGTCCGTTCTTTGAGATACCGGCTTCGAACTCACCAGTACCAGCAGCGACGATCAATACGGCGCAGTCAGCCTGGGAGGTTCCAGTAATCATGTTCTTGATGAAATCTCTGTGTCCAGGAGCGTCGATGATGGTAACATAGTATTTGCTGGTTTCGAACTTCCACAGAGCGATGTCAATGGTAATACCACGTTCACGTTCAGCCTTCAGTTTGTCCAATACCCAAGCGTATTTGAAGGATCCCTTACCCATTTCCTGGGCTTCCTTCTCGAACTTCTCGATGGTACGTTTGTCGATACCACCACATTTGTAGATCAAGTGGCCGGTGGTGGTGGACTTGCCGGAGTCGACGTGTCCGATCACGACAATGTTGATGTGTATCTTTTCCTTACCCATTTTTGGTTAGTCTGGAAAAGAAAAAATAAATTAAATTGAATGCAAATTCTTTGTTAGAAATCCCGGTGCACCTTTACAAGGTCGAGACAAGTTAGCGAATACGCGGCCGGCAATATGGCGGCCGCATGGTCGCCTCGCCCTATCTTGACGTTTAACAATGGATGTCAGCCATTACGGTTAAATAAAATATATTTTATAAAATTGCAGGAAAAACCTAACCAGATAAGTCGATACCAAGATTAAGGCTGATTATAAAGGAAAGATACACGTGTAAAAATAAAAGAAGATTTACAACCACGTGGTGACATGTGCCGGTCGGCTATCTTGACGCGTAAGCACAAGGTTTTGAAATTAGAACTGGTTTAAATGTAAGAAAATCAACAAAAACCGATCTACACGTTAAACAGCATGACACTAGAGTTACAATATAACAAATCAATTAGGAGAATAGTACATGATTACACCATACATATTAATCATCACTAGAATATCGAAAGCAATTAAACGTAACCTAAATGTAATTAATATTCAGAAATAGCGTGGAATTATGATTACTAACACTGAAACTATTACAGTTAAATAAAATTCACTGATTTTCACTGCACTTTGTCGTTTTTAACACTCACCACGGATAGCGTGTTATATCCGAGAATGACTCCAACAGAATGGACGAGAAATGGATTTTCACTTATCTACTCGGAGGAAAGGAGCCTTTTCCGGAGTACAGGGTTGACCTATAAAAAATATTTAATTTGCCGTTATATATTTTCAACACATTTTTTATTTAATTCATAAACACCCTAAACTAAAACTTTAAGTAAAATGCAATTAAATAAAAAGAGATTATATTTTATTTATTATGAGCATTCTATCATTTTCCGAGTTTAGTAAAAGTTGTATAAATATTTATATTCTTGCTTTCTAAGCAGTGAATATATGAAATTTTGATAAAATAATTAAAAAAAAATATATTATGAGTTCTTAACCGTAAAAAGTGTTATAATTAAGTATGTATTATTTGCGTTAACAAACAATACTTAAAAACCCTATGTTCATTATTACGATGATATTTATGTATTTTTGCTTACTATAATTTTGCAGAAGCAGGTTTGAAGTTGAAAGCCTTTTTTATGAAACAAAAGAACTTATTTTAGCAGTAAAAATATTTAGAAGTGAAAGTCGAATAAGCTAAAAATGTACATTGGCCCGTATAAATGATAATATCATTTTTTTATGGCAATTTTTTACTTACGTGTACATCATTTCCTTTGTGTTCGAAAATGAATATATTTAAAACTTATTGCCATTAATCAAAAATGGGTATTGTTATGAAATGGGAAACAAAAAATATTTTTCAAATAACGTAAAAAAAATATATGTTTCGCATGTAAAACTCTTATTATTATAAAAAGATGAACGGTTATAGTAAAGGTACATATTATAGATAAAAATTTTTACGTAAAAAAAGATTCTGTGGTGTGACGTGTTTGGCACTTAACAAAAGCGAATTTATGAAATTTTGGCGTACAATTATTAAAGTCAATACTTTACCCAAAATTTTTGTTATGCATTTGGTTTAAAAGTACATAATTATGTTTATACCATTTAAATAATTTTGGTCTTACTCATAAGCTACACAGTTGTTTCTGGCTGTTATTTCGCGAAATATTCGTCTGCGGCGCTTATACTTTTATTTGGTATAAGACATGCTAATAATTAATGCTTTCGAAGATTGTGTCTGTGTAAATTTAGGATTTATTTAATTTTGTCACATAGAACACATTACAGTCGACATGTTTAAGAGTCGGGGGGATAGTAATATTGTATATAAATGTACAGTAAGACTACTAGAGGATACTGAAATATTGGAATGTGAATTTCATGTAAGTATTTTATAAGTGGCATGCATTTTACTTCTTTAAAATAATTACGTTGTCTTTTTTTAGTTATTAAATAAAATTACACATCAACTATTGTAATCTGTACTGTGTAACACCTAGATGTCACCAAACATAAATCTATCTCTATTGAAATACTTCAGAAACTTTGACCTGCCATGGAAGTACCTTCTGTATTTCTTTTTTTTTTATATGCATAAGTAATATATTGTATTTTTTATACATTATATTTTTTCAGCCTAGCTATAAGGGAAAGTTTTTGTTAGAACATGTTTGCCAACAATTAAATTTGACTGAAACAGATTATTTTGGTCTACGATATGTAGATTCTAATGGACAGCGGGTAAGAATTGTTTTTATTTTCTAAAATAACTGTTTTATTATTAATAATTAGATTTTACAATGACAGAGGGGGCATAATAGACAACAATTGGATAAAATCCAAAAGTAGCCAACTGTATCATAATATTTTTGATGTATTATTGTACATATTTATATTAAGTATGTTTTTTTTCAGCACTGGTTGCATTTAGCTAAATTAATATTGAAGCAAGTTAAAGGTATGTTTTATTTGTGTACAATAAAGATTACTATTAAATGCGAGTTTTTATACAACTTCTTCTAACTCTTATTAGATTTCCTATTTATAATGTAAAAAAAATAGAAATCAAACAGCTGTTTGTGCCATATGTTTAAGAAATTGTACTTAATGTTTGAACATACAGAGTAGATAACATCATCGGGAGATGTTCAATCAAGGAACAGCTTCAACTTTAACTGAACTCAGCAGCTCCTAAACTAACCAAACCTTAAGGAATTTATTAAACCATCATATAAATTGCAGATGCATCACCAATACTCTTCAGTTTTCGAGTAAAATTCTATCCACCGAATCCATTGCTACTTAAGGAGGATGTTACACGTTTTCAAATTTATTTGCAATTGAAGAGAGATTTGCTGCATGGTCGACTTTACTGCACTTCAAATGAGGCTGCTATGCTTGGAGCACTTATCATACAGAGTAAGTCTAGGCTATAACTATATCTGTATATACATAGATCAAATTGAAAATGTTAAACATTCTTTGGGGGAATGGACGAATTATTAATGTGGACTGATCACCAAGCCTTCTATTGAATTAATGGAAAAAAAAGAATCACGTACAAGAGTCACCTACAAACTGTCTAAATATAAATATATCTTTGCCTAAATAAAAATTCATCAGTATGAAGTCTGAAAATTTTTATTTTGTGTTCACAAGTCATCTATAGCAAAAGATTGATTTATGAATGCCGCAAAAAGCTTACACTAACTTAAGTAAGATGTCCACAAAAATTCACATATTTTACAGTTGTCTAGGTAGTAGAGGCTTCACAATAAATCTAATTTTGTTTAATTCTTGTACAGTCGAGCTTGGAGATTACGACCCTAGTATTCATGTTGGTAATTATGTCACTGAAATGAGGTTGTTGTTGAGACAAACTGATGCCATTGAAGCAAGAATACAGGTAAATAATTCCTTTCTCATGATCACCTGGCTTTTCTTTGGGTGTCTCCAGTAAGAAATAATAATTAATTAATAAACGAGATAGAATATATATATAATATTATTTATTAGATACAGTAATAGTTTTTTTTAATAAGTTATTATTCAAGAAAGTCAAATTATTGTTATCATTTTATCATTGTTTGCTTTTTGCCTAAAATGATATATCCTCTTTATTATGTCTTCTTTTGTCTTAATTTTTGTCAAAGAATTCTGTTCTGTAGGTGTGGTGAATATCAAGATTATTGTCAGTGTGTTGTAAATAGACTGCATAAATACACTTAATAGACAATAGTGACTACCGCTGTTCCGACTCGTTGCCATTAGTCATTTGCTAAGATCTTTAGAATTTCTTGTTATTAGGTATTAGCATCTATACTATGTTTTTTTCAGGAGTTACACCGGGAACCTGTAGAGGGCACACCTGGTGGGACGGGTGGCGTTAAAGGCATGTCTACCCAAGAGGCGGAAAGGACTTTTCTCAAGATCGCCTGTCAACTTGACACTTATGGTGTAGATCCGCATCCTGTCAAGGTATAAAGCATTGCATAGAGTATAGACCTTAACTGATCCTTGGTTCCAATAATTCAATTAATAAAAAAGTTTTTGTCATGTAGAGCAGAAAGGCTTGATCAACTTTTTATGAATTACTTGTATATTTAATAGATTAAGCCATACTAATATTTTCCATAAGTTATCAAATATTACGATATTTTACTTATTCATAACCCCTTTTAGTTTATACAGATAACGAAAACATTTTCGTGTCTCTATCTATCTTACCTAATAGGTTATTAAAGTATTATGTATTTTTTATATTTTAGTGCCCTTACTAAAAATGTTTATCTCATCATTCAGTTTATATGTAAAACCTATGTATATTAATGAATTCCTACACTATACATCTAATTATTTATCTGTGAAATGTTTTTTAGGATGCACCTTTATACTATATACTTTATTCTTACTGCAAAATTGTATTCGATTGTTGTTTCTGTTATGTTTCTTTCTTAAATAAATAGATAAGTTTATTTTGCGTACCCAAGAATGTAGAACAAAGACTGATATCTATGATATATAATAGAGTTTATCATATAAGGGTTATTTGTTTATTTATTCTATTAAAGTATATATTTAGTTATTAGATTATATTATAGAAAAGGAATGAACCTGTTTACATAGTTAAAATTGTTTCAAGTTTATCTATTTCTTTAGGACCACAGGGGCAACCAACTGTATCTAGGTATCAACCATTGTGGAATACTAACGTTTCAAGGCAGTCGCAAAACACATCACTTCAAATGGTCTGAAGTTCACAAAATTAACTTTGAAGGCCGGATGTTTATTGTTCATCTTAATTATCCTGAGGTAAGTATTTTATGATTTTAACTATAATGAAGTTTATTTTATGATTACAAATACTAAGATGAATTTATTTTTTATACATATCTAAATTGGGTCAACATGGCTAACAAATTGTTTATTAAAGAATTTTAAAAACGACCATTCATATCTCTTAAAAGAACAAATTCATTGACTTTTTCGAAAAGCTTGTTTATAATAAAAATATCTTGCATTTATTTCAGAAAAAGCACACAGTAGGTTTTAAGTGCCCAAGCGGAGCCGCGTGCAGGCACGTGTGGTGCTGCGCTATAGAACAAATGCTCTTCTTTACGTAAGTCAATTTCAAAGTCGTTGTTGAATCGTGACACCCTTTTTAGTAAAAAATAGCTCTATATCACCTTTTAAAGCGAACTAAATTTGTGGATATGTTTGATAACTTTTTCTTTCTAAAATGAATTTGTTTGCATGTGTAGGGCCACTGAAAGTTATTAGAATCTTTGTTTTTAATATCCAGAATTTCTACAAAACATACAAAAATGATTTGTAAAGAACATAATTTGATAAATAACATGGATTGTTACAAATTTAAATTTTAAGTTTTGTATAAAAAAAGGCATTTAATTTTACTACACCTTTGATATTTTTGAAATTAGTACGATTACGACAATACACACTCGTAGTTATAAATGATTTATTCGGCTATAATGTTATATATTTTTTGTAGCAAAAGAATTGCTGCACCTAAACTACTAGACCGACTTTTAAAAAAAATATGTCCAGAACCTGACAAGCCATATTCTATTAAAATACAATATTTCTGGTGTCCTAATAAAGGCATCTTAGATAAATGATCTACTTATAGCATTCGGTAAAACTCTTCGCCCTGATAATATTTCTATAGATTGATAAGAATAAACATACTCAATAAATAAATAATTTGATCTAAAATACATTTTATTTTTATCAGCTTGCAATCGTCATCAGACGCCTGTGTCTACTCCGGCGGAGGACTGTTTTCTTGGGGTACAAAATTCAAGTATGTAGGGAGGACTGAGAGGGAGATATTGGAGAGAGACGGACTTCTTGCTCCCAGGGACTCACAGGTATATTATCTGTATTGAATATTGTGAAATTATGAAATGACATTTGACAAAAATGTCTCGTATGCATATGGATAGATTGTTTAACAACTAATGTGAACTTAAAATTTTTACAATGACATGATGATACATTTTTTCTTGTATATTTTTGACAATTCTTTGTATGTCTTGGTGTTTTAGGACGAGGGTTCAAGTACCGGTGGTAAGCGGAAAGCATCAAGTGTTCCGGCTACACCGTCTACACCTATGACTGGAGATTTTGGTAAGTTTAACATTTTTTACTTCTATTTAATTCTTTATATAGAATAAAATTATGTTATTTAATACATCAATCCTGAATCTGAACATTTGATAAGTGGGAAACCTGAAATTAGGTCCAAAGTGACTTCTAGTAGAATTTTATATATATATACATTTATAGTTTACAAAAACATGATGTATTACATAAAACTTTCTTATAGGTTACAGTAGTCTCCCACGATCAACCCACAGTGCTCCACTGGAAGAGAGCGCTGTCCCAGGACAACAGTTAGGAGAGGGGGAGGCGTGTACCGGTGGCTGTTTGCTGAGCGGCGCTGCGGTGGACATCGCACTTTGTGATCACTTCAGGACCATTACTGATGATAAGCCAGGTCAGGCCTGTGTTGTATATTGTACATCCCATTTATTGTTCTGCATTAGTTGTTTCTCACTGTAACCCGTCAAAAGCTTTGTTGCCGCTAACAAACAATATTTGATGAATTATGGAAGGAGCATTATTCCCATAAAAGTTAAAAGACATCATTAATTGCCTATGTCTCTATCTATTATACTATATAACTAACTATACAACTAGGACTATTAACGAAAGACTTCTAATACAGTACAATTTTATAACAGGTTAAATTTATACTTATGGCATCACTTCTTGTATTCATAAAACGACTCTCTACCAATATTTACAAACACAGATAAATAATATTTATATACTTTTACAGCGTGTCAAGAATACTCGCGAGATCCATTCGAACACTCCTCGACGGAGTCCGGTGCGACGACTCACGTGACGCACGTCTCACACGCTTCCCAGCCGCCGGACGACTGGAGACCTCCCGCCCTTCAACCCCCACCACGGCCCTTCAGCTTATTGCGCGCGTTCGTGCCATCCTTTTTGTTCGTATGGTTGTCTCTCGCTCTAGCAATGTTATTCCTCTTCGAGACTGATTGGCCGCTGTTTCGACCGTTGAAACGGAAACCGGAAATCGTCTCGCTCAGACATCACTACTACGCGCCATTAAAAGAGTACTTGAAGAAAAAAGTGGTCGAGCTTTTTTGATTTGCACAATACGCTTGGGTGGTTGTTTAGGGGTACAAGGGTTGGATATTATTATAGACCGTTTGAAATTTGAAAGGATTTTAAACATTGTTTATGGGTTTTATTAGATATTTAAAATGAATCCTATGGGTTTAATTCATAATGGTTGAAATTCGGTTATTTTGTTGGCGTTACGGTTGTAGTTGTCTGCCAGTTTGTTGCGTTTTAAGTCCCATGATTGGTAGGTTTGACAGATGTCAATTTTTATTTGTCGAGTTGACATTGACAAGGTTTGATTATTTGTTATTATCACGCTGCTTTTCTACCCAGAAGTTTTGGAATAGATTGTAACATTTGATTGTCGTTAGTCAGCCATTTTCATAAAGCTAAAAGCCTGGAGTCAATTCTGATGTGTCAAATTTTTGGACACGTTTTAGGGGAGTAACCCGGATTGTACATAAGTTTTATAACTCATCGTATTTGCTTTTAATAACAGTTAGTTAAGTGTTTTAAAACTATTTTGCACAAATTTTACGAATGTAGGTAGTTTGTGAGGCAATTCACACAAATGCAATTATTTTAAGTCCCTTTTGGATTACTTAGATGTAAAAATTACATTTTATGCGGTAGTTTTCTTAACTTTTAATTAACACATTAACCTAAATTAAAAAAAGCAAGCCCGCTTGAAACTTACTCAATTAATTTAATGTTTCCTTGAGAACAATAATTACATGAACATTGTTAATTTAAATACACTGTACAGGGGGGATCAGAATAGGTGAGATAGTGGTTTGTATAGCTCAATTTAAACAAGAAAAAAGGTCAAAACCTTTCCGTAACTTTAATGACATAACGCATCAATAACTTTACGAAAATTAAGGTAAAAAGGAATAAAGTTTCTTATAATATTTCAAGATAAAATAAAAGTGTCCGCGTATTTTGACTCCCCCCTATATATAGGTTCCTATTAAATATAGATCCTCAAAAACGCACACACATTGTGATACCTAAATTTTGCGAATCTCTTAGCTCTTAATTTTGACGTTCTTTATATAATTTACAACATTCCTTAATCTAACCGCCTTATAATTTTTAATTTCTAGTACTTACGCTTTTGTAATATTGTTAAGAAGTTTTATTTACACAAATGTTTTATTGCTTTTGTTATTTCTTATTAATAACTGTAATTGTTGCATTTAAATTATTTATTTGACAGTGAAGTTAATATATTTTACTTAATATTAAGTATGCTTAACAAATTTGTCTTAGCAACGCCATACTATAAGGCCATTTGAATAGACTATATTTGACAGCCAAGCTGGTCAACTAATAAACAAAAAAGCATTTCTTGCATTAATTACAAAATTAGACCATTTTGCAATACATATACTACCGTGAAACTTGTGTCAAATATGGCCTATGAAATTGGCCTTACTGTAATAGAATAAACGCCTTATAGATGTTTAAGAATCCTTAGCTTGCCTAGTCACTATTGTAAATAATTTTAGACAATTGTTTTAGATTATTATTGATTAAATATAATATAAGAATGTCCACAATTGCAGCCAAAAGTATTTGGAAACTACAATTTTGAGCAAGGCTACTTTTTTATAGTATATGTTTAATCAAAGTTTGCAACAGCGGACTAGTAACAACTGTAATTTTGATCTATCAAACAAATTAAGCTTCGAAAAACTATTTAATAATTGATATAAACACGTATAGCTTATTTTTTCTAATTATGTTTCTAAAATTATCATGGACTTTGTACATCCCATACTTTTTGAAAATATCAAACTAAAGATATTTAAATCTGTCCATTTACGTAATTTCCTTTTTAGCTTTTTTATTAATTTAGCATAAAATTGTGGGTTTTTAGTAAGTGAATTTGAGGTAGTTTTTTTAGTTTGATATATAGTTCAGTATTTCAAAGCGTTTTTAGTATAAATCAATGTAAACCTTGTAAGAAAATCACGTATTCATGTTAATTGTGTTTGTTTACCAAAAATGCCAAGTAAGAAAAAATACACTATACAATATGTACTGTTACTTCAACAATGGTATTTTAAACCAGTCTAAATAATAACCATGGCATGTTTTTATACTTGCAGGGTTAAGTTCACTCTTATAAGTACAATTGATATTTTCGTACGCAGCAATATAGACTAGTCAATGAGCGTTGTTGCAAAAATATTGCGCACAATCAGAGTAATTGAAGTCGCAAGTTACAATTCATTCGGACAATTGTAAAGGTTAATCAGCGGACGTACTTCTAAAATGTACCTTACGACCGCCGCATAGGGTCGATAATGCATTGTACAAACGTTACATTCTGTGTTGCCATAGCGTATTTGTTTATCCGTGGACCAATATTATTTCGTACCTGTAAGAATTTTATTTTTGTATTAATACTGCTTTTACAACTTTTACAGCTCCAGTATTAGGATAAGTCCGTTTTTATAGATGCTTGTAATGGACAAACATACGTATTGCATAACTTCAGTATATAATCATTTTATTAGACGCAATTTGATTATTATAGCTATCCCCTTTTTTGCAATTGTTTTTGTCGTTTATTCATTACTCTTTTTCCTTTCTCAAACGCAAAGCGATGTTGGCAAAAGTTATAACTTAATTGTCTGTAGTTTACGCGAGTGGTACGCATTTAAATAAAACACCTTTTAACGGCTTAAACGGCACAGAATATATTAGTTTAACTTTTCGCATACTTTGCAGCAGTCGTAACACGGTTGCTGACGTCGGGCGATAGTTAAATTGCATTTCGCGTTTTAAACCGTTAACAATTGTTTCATTAAGAGTCATAACTTAATTATAGATTCGCATCGCGTACGTGTGTAAAGAGGGCTTTTATTTATAAATGCGTTATTGTTACGAAAATGAGTGATTCTGTAAACTGTAACGAACAAATATAATATGAAAGCTCAAATATTTTTTTTTTGTTTATGGAGAGAATAGCTAGAAGAATCTTTTTTTCGTCACTATGAAATTTTGTGGACGGAGAGAGGTGGGACATCTTTCACCTTACATTTGTTCGTTATTGGACACCTTAGTACAACATCGGCGTTATAGGCACAAATTGTAATTAATAGCCATTGTAAAGTTTGCAAGTGAATAGAGAAATAAAACATCCTGCCGATCTGTTTCATGTTTTATTATTTAAAAAATAATTCCAAATAAGCAACAAACAAATACAATTAACAACGTAAAAAACATTTTTAGTGAATACAACTGCACGATTCGACACTGCAATGATTATTTGCTTAACGCAATTATAAAAATATAGATGAGAGTTAGGCACCGAACTTGAATATTATACATATTTAGAATTTCTAAATATGGCACGCTTTGGGGTTTTACGGAGAATCGGCAAATACAGTCGAATCAGCTCGAAGACGTTTTAAACGCTTTTAGCGGTTTAAAACGTGAAATGTATTAGTTTAACGTTAATATAATTATCGCCCGACGTTTCAGATGCTTTGTAGCAGCCGTAGTCAGTAGGGGAGTAAGTTTAACTAATACATTTCGCGTTTTAAACCGTTAGATGTGTTTTTTTTATTAATTATGTGAACTACTCGCGTAGACGTTTTTCTATTTGTAACAGGCTAAATGCTACATACGCAACAATGTCTCAAAGCTAATTTGACTGTCTACGAATGAAAAATGATCAATGAGAAAAGCTTATCTCTGCATATAAATGGAATTAGCAAGCTTAACTACATTAAATTTAAGTTGCTCTAACTTGACATCTGAGATATGTATTAGTTACAAAATTAATATGCCCACATCAACCGATGGTAACCTCTCATTAATCCGAGCCTATTTTTACATAATCTTAAGTTAAATAATATTTAAATACATGTCACGTTTAAAATAAGTCCGCGTCTCTTAAGCGATCCATCAATCGATTACAGTGTGAAACACAGAAAAGCAAAATAAACATTGAAATAATATTCTATAAAATGTTATAAATTCATATTCATTTTCATCGATATAATCGCGTTCACTTGAGCTATAAATGATATAACTAAATTCCATATTCACCCATAACTACGTAGGTACTTACAACAGCGTAATAATGTAATATAGTGCTTAATATTAAGATGCTACAGACTAAAATGGCGCGCGGCGTTGCACCTATCTATACAGTGGAGCTCGAGGACTTGGGGTATTCAAATAAAGTTATTAACAAGCGCAGAATTCACGTATCAATGAGGTCTAATGAAATACCGTCTTAAATACGAGGCACAGAAGGAGAAAGGGGGGGTCGGTTCAGGCATTGGTATTTAGAATTACCCAGATATTGTTAAGTTCAGGAACAGAGGAGGAAAGGGATCTTGCAGACCACTGTATATATACACATGATACAACAATGGTTAAGATATTCAGGAAGCCAACGACCTGCGACTTAGTATCGGTTACCATTTGTGCTCTTACGCTCGTCAAGTAATAGCAAAAGTGCATGGCTAAACGCACTATGGAAAGTTATAGTTATTGTCCTTTGCAGAGGTAGAATCGAATCAGTCGACGATGGATAACTGCGCGTAACCTATCAGGCCTTTCTCGTCTACCGGTTCCGCTGGATCGGCGGACTCCAGCCGGAAAGTGAGGGTCCTGGGAACTGGTGCACCGCTAGGGAATATGTGGGAGTCTACGAGGATCTGCAGCTGTTGCGCTATAGTTGTGGAATCGCGACCGTCTACCAGCCCAGCGCCGACTAGTTCTGTAGCTATCCCGTCGGCAGAGTCTTTACCTGGAGCGAACTCGAATCTTATATCGTTAAGTTCCTTTCGCGCGTTCCTCATTCGCAGGACAAGGTTGATCAGAGGCGCCTCCTCGGCCTCAACTGACCCTATAGTGAACCCGGCGCGGTTCTCGCTATCGCTCTCACTATCAGAAGAATCCGCGCGAACCAGCTGGTTCATCGGACGATCTGCTGCCTCGCCGTCTTCGTCATCGTCCTCTTCATCACTCTCCCACACCCATTCTCCAGTTTCCATTCGATGCAACCTACCAGAAGTACCCGGTTGTCGTTTGCTGGCCTTATGCACTCTGGTCTCCATACTTGGCCCGATCGAAACGAGCGTTTGCACAAGATATTTACGGTCTTTCGCTTTTTTGAAGAATGAATGCTTTAGCAATTCCGTGGCTGATGGCCGTTTAGTCGGATCTTTCTGTAGACATTCTGAAATCATTTTTCTGAAAGTCTTTCCATACGCTTTGTACTGATCTTTCTCTTCTGCACCCGTGTCCAAGGTCGGAGGGTCATTCTGCAGAGTAAGCATTAACACCTTCATAGGGGGGTATTTGTGGTATGGTGCCGTACCCGTGGCCATCTCTATTGCAGTTATACCAAACGACCAGATGTCAGCTTTGAAGTCGTATCCGTGATTTTGTTCCATGACTTCAGGTGCCATCCAGCAAGGGGTACCTACGAACGTGTGACGGACTTTCTGTCGTGATAAATCACGCCCAGTCGCAAGCCATGCGGACACGCCAAAATCAGCGATTTGTACAGTTCCATCGTCACCTAGCAGTATATTACCCGCTTTAATATCCCTGTGAATCTGACCATTCTGGTGGAAGTATTCGAGACCTTTAAGAACCTCCTTTAAGACTGTAGCGATAGTCGCTTCATCAAAGACTCCGTGCTTACAATTGGAAATTCTCATTTTATGTTTGATGATATCCAGCAGGCTGCCACCTTCAAGCAGTCTCAGGACAAGCCACAACTCTTCTTTTACGACAAAGCTTGTGTAGTAGGTGACCACGTTCTCGTGGTTACAGCTTGACATAGCTTGGATCTCTTTGAGAAGTTCATCCATAGAAGTGTTCCACTTCTCCAGATTAATCCGTTTGATGGCGCATTTTTCGCTCCTCGGACGACAGAACGCCGCGTGCACTACTGCTGTAGCCCCAACACCAATAACTTCTAACAACTCATAATCATCTTGACTATTCGGCCACATATGTCCAGAACCCGCCATTGTGGCTTTCAAATGTTTTTCTTGTCTTGAAGTTGTGTACTAATAAGGCAGATAGCGAAGGCTGAGATTTATTGATGAATTGTAATGTTCACAGACTTGATTTGATTTCCCATATTGATATGGTTCTTTGGTGTATAATTGTGTACTACAATCAATCTTTCAGATCCAGCAATCTCGAGGCGATGTAGAGTTTTAGTAGTATCACGAAGTTCCTTTGTCGTCTTGTCTTTAGTGATTATTTGCGCGTTGTAATCTACATTCGCTGGGTATAAGTGGTCACCTGAAATATGGGATAGAATAAGTATGCATATTGTGTCAAAAATTTAGAAATGTATGTTCGATCTAATATATAAAATGCCCGTTTCACGGTTTTCGAACTTGAACCCCCCCAAAGGGGCCCGCCCGTTTTTCACAATTTTTGTTTTTTGTGTTTGGAGGGGGGGAGGAAAAGAGACAAAATTTTTTTTTCCCCCCCCCTTGGGGGGGGGGGGGTTTCCTTTTTTTTTTTTTTTTTTTTTTTTTTAAAAATTTTTTTTTTTTTTTTTTTTTCCCCCCAAAAAAAAAAAATTCCTTTTTTTTTTTTTTTTTTTTTTTTTTTGGTTTATTATATGGCAAAACAACCTTTTCCGGCTCCCCCATATTTTTATATAAAATAAATATGAATTTACCTGGTAACAAAAATACATATCCATCCTTAGCCCGTATAGGGATTGGGAAAATAAGCTCATTACCCTGACTGGTAATATTTCGCGCAAAACTGATTAATTTCCCTAAATCAGTTATATGGCTGAAACGACTTAATTCATAGCCTTGTGGTGGATGTAGTATTACTTCTCCTTTAGTGTTCCTTTCCAATAAATTAATTGGATGATCCCACTGCAAAAAGGCATAAATTATTATTTACAACACTATTTAAAAAAATCCATTGCGTATAGTAAAAGCCATGTTCTAAAGCTTAATCATTCTTAGTTTTATCGACAAAACAAGTTTTTAACATTAATTATTTTTAACTCAATAGGATATTGCATTACATTTTTTTAGGACACGTCAGACATCATTTTTTAATCATTAAGAGACAAGACAACAGTGTCTCAACAAACTGTTAATTACTAATGCTATTAGTCAAGAACCATCACACTAATGTCAACTCAATATCAAAAATGTAATGTTAAGAAGTAAAAATATATTAATCTTATCACATCTATATTACTGTTAAATATGTTATCTGAAAAATGAAGACATGATTTAGTCAATAAGTGATGTAAGAAGTGAAATTTTTTTGATAATGTACTAAGTGATACTACTAGCTACTAGATAGCAAATATATGTACTCATAAAAATATTGTTTTTTCATTTGTGTAAAAATAAGCACATATGTAAAACGTTTTTTTATATGTTAATTGCACAATCAGATGATATTTAGGTAGGCTATCCAAAGATCATTTAAGTAGCAGACTCATTACATATAAACATTTGTGACATAACAATCAACTTTATGATTCAAGCATTAAGAAAACTATTCAGATTTTTTATATCCCTACAACCTTCAATAAACACTAAAATACCCAAACACAAATAGACAGATATTTGACATAAACATAATTTCCTTTTCATAGAGGTGAGGTAGTCTTACAAATATTATGAATCTGACAGGACTTCATTTGTGTTATAAATGTTGTCGAACTAATAATACAATTTATTTACAATTTTTTAACTGTTGATAGGCTTATTATAAATGTAATGTGTTTGATATGATTGTATGAGACATTTAAAAAAAGTTTCAATAAAATGAAGATCAATGAAGATGACATGCATACCTCAACCTTCACTACTTCATTACTGCTTTGAATATTGGCAGGCTTATCCTTTACTGCTGCAACATAGAAAGCGGTATCAAAACGCTTTGGCAATGTAACAGGAGATAACCAGTTGCTCCAATAATGTAAAGACCAGATGTCAGGATAACAATTATACTCTTTACAAAGATTGAACAATTCTGATGGATTTTTGCTGATCTGAAAATATATAGACATATTTTAATATTTAAAATCTAAAATCTGAGACAAAGATCAGGTGTTACTTTACTATACCTTGCTCTGCCAATGTTTAGTGTCTACATTAGAAAGGATGCCACTCCAAATGTCCGGCTTATTATTTTTGTGTTCCGTACTACAAATAAGCAGTCCGAGCTCCTCAAATGTCTCTCGTATAGCACTAATTCTTAATGCAATGTGCCTAGATACAATAAAAATGTAATAAAATCTATTTCAAGGTCAGTCACAATTTAGAATAGAGGTCATTAGTCAAAGTTTTGTCACTTTTGTTTGGAAACTAGTAATATAGTATATTATCATAACATAAGTATAGTTATGATAACACAATGACACTGCTTACCTGCGCACGGGATCGTCTTTAAAAATGGGGTTGGCGGGGGATCCTGGGCGATGGAGCGCCTCAAAATCGCGCTTCGTGTACCCGAAATTGGTGAACAGAGGTAGCCAGTGATCGCTGGCGTCGGCCTCCTCTGTCACTCCGCCCGGAAATACTACACTGTTCGAGAAAGATGCGTTATGCGTTCGAGTCTGCAACAAGATATCATAGTTACACGCATCCGTGTTTGACTTCGATATCGCATCCACATTTCGCTTAGCTAGCACTATCAACGAAGCAGAATCACGCCAACGTCTCTCGATTGCTCTTTTCATGGCTCTATCTATCTCAGTGTAATAGTTTGATTGCTAGAATTACAAACCGCACTAGGGTTATATACAAGGCCGAAACTTACGTTCTTGATAGTGCCTTTTCGTACAAGTGTGGACTTAACTTAGATGAATGAGTAATGATAATTGTGTCTTATCACCTTTAGATTACAACAATTAATGGCCAAAACTACAGAATATAAAAATAGAAATTAAATTGACACTCACGGTAATGTCGATTTACATTTTCGTCATAAATTTTCATTTTCCGACGCGTTCTCTTAGTTATTTGACATATGAATCACAAGGCAAGGCTGACAGCTGAGTTGTCAGTTTACTTGACAGTGATATCGCTAATAGGTATATTGACATCAAAACTTATTGTCTTGACATTTGACATTGCTAAAGTTTTTTTTGGCGTTTGATAACGCATTTTCAACGATTCTGCCAATGTCGATGTACACTTTTGAAAAGCGGTTTCCAGAAGGCGATTGTTCGTTGGTCTTATCCGTAATGATATTGCCGTAATATGTTATATGCTTATAATTCTTGGAAAACTTTTTAAGAATAATAATAGTCGGCGTTATTGCTGTAGCAGTATTGATAAAATTATTATTATTTTTGTCTTATTAGATTAATTAAGAAATACAAAAGTATTATGTATCTCTTTATTACTTAACTTGCGTTTGGAAATCTGCTATAGTCCAAATGCTTCAGCATCATTACTGTGTCAACAAAACAATGGGTTTCAGTAGATCTCTATTGTCGTCAACAAAATATTCATACAGAGGAAAGCTTCGTAGTTGTTATTCCTTGACATCGTGGGTAAAACTTATTATCACTTTGACCCCATTTTTAGCGATCAATAGGGCAACTCTATCCCTTAAGCTTTGGGGATAATATTGTTCTTACCTACTAACTGTATAAATAATATTAATATGTTGCTGTGTATGGTATTAATAATTCATAAGACTTAACTAAATACTGTCTGAAGTTTACGCGAGTAGGACACGCTTAAAAAAAACATTTTAATGGTTTAAAACACGATATATATTAGTCCCCCAGTGACCACGACTGCTGCAAAGCATCCCAAAAGTCGGGACGTAGTGAAAATATTTTTTCCAAATAAGTTTGTCCAAAATGCGATATTTAGTAATATCGCATTTTGGACCGTTAAAGTGTTTTCTTTAAAATACTTGACTAAACAAATTATTAATTAAAAGTAAAAGTAAATACTACAGATTGCATAGATAAGATAGTTAATATGTTACTTGATAGTCTAATAAATAATAATAAAAATGTTATATTTTTAATACGGCTCTAACTCTAATTTGTTTTCTGTGTAGATTGTGGAAGACGTAATCTATATCTATACTAATATATAAAGCTGAAGAGTACGTTTGTTCGTTTGAACGCGCTAATCTCAGAAACTACGGGGTCGAATTGAAACATTATTTATATATTAGTTGTGTTTGTTAGAGCATTTGTCGAGGAACTCTATAGGCTATAAAACATTGCGCTGTGATGAATAAAAGCGAAGATATAACGGGAAATGTAAACAATTCGGGGAATCTGTGGGTTTCAGATGCGTACGTTGCGAAAAGGTTCAAGATACCTTAATAAATGTGTATGAAAGAATGATTCCTCTTTAAATGATCTAAAAAAAAATCCGCGATGCTGTATATCTATCTTCTAAGATTAACGTACAAGAACGACGAGAAGGGACGTGATCGACGTTGTGGCTAACGACTTAAGTTTATAAAGATGCAAAAACTAGTTTGGATGCCCAAAATAACGATTCTCGCAGACGAAGTCGCTGGCACAGCTATTAATAATATAATATGACTAAATATAATATATCTTATATGAGACAAATATGCATTTATATACGCGTAGAACATAGCTTCTTAAAAAAAAAATCAAAGTTAAATTTCCTCTATTGATCAATAGTTAAATACAGAAATGATACATACATTTCGTGGCTCCAAAGTAAACGACGCTTGTACCAATTTGTCCAAGTAAATCCTTGAAATATTGGCTTAGCAGTGGAACAAGCGACGCAAGTTTGAGAGAACCTAATTTCCGACACGAAAACGCTCATTGAATATGTAAAGTGCACAAGTGCATCTTGGAATTCAGGCTTACACTCAATTAGGTCGGGATTAAGAGAGATTCGACGATAGATTATAGAAACAAATCTAAAGTTAGACGTTTATCGTAGTTTCCTCCAGAGCACGGGTCATACGCATAGGAGAATTTTAAGAGCTTAGTCTCACCACGTCTGCTCCAATGCTGTGGTCTTAAACCACCAGCATTAATTAGTGATACTTCCAAACCACATACTAGAAATTTTCTTTACAATTTCAAACTTTTAATCAACATTTCGTCTACGCCAAGACTCGAACAAGCGACCCCGTTGTCTGTAGACGAGTGAACCAATCAAGCAGTTTATGCTGTACCGGTAATATAAAAACTTAATTTAAATTTTCTATTGCTTGGTTTTGTATCTTAACTACAAACAAACAGTTTTATTATAATATGTAGGTATGTTTGTTTTGTTATTTTTAAGGTAGGGGATTGTGAATTTAAGGTAGGGCGTTGCCTTACAAATATCACAGGCTAAGGTAGATCGTACCTAGTTAAAACAAGAATTAACATATCAATGTCAGCTTGCCAGCGATATTGATTAAAAACTACGCAATACATTCTGTGGTAATTATTATGAACTACCTACTTAGGTGCCTACCTAAGTAGAACGCCAGTGGTTACTGATGAGAAATAGTCCTATAAAAGCCGACGTCCTTTTGAAGAAGAATAGCTAAATTAATTTAATTGCTCTTTTAAACGAATCTCTTGTGTGCTGCATGAATTATGACAATAATAAAACTCAGGTTTGACTAACAAAATCCTTTATTTAGATAATATTTTTAGCATCTAGATAAGTAGTTCTATTGTTTATAGTTAATGCTATTGCATTTGCTAACAAATTAATCATTTTAAAAAACAAATGCTATTTACACTAAATGTAAAATAAGGTAATAAACATCTGTTTTATTTTATAATGACTTATTAACTTTAAATTTCGTCTGTCTTTAACTGTCTGCCTTTGTAATATTGTCTTATTTATCCTATATCCTATACACAAATTGACAATGTCTAGGTAGTTTAGCCCCCCATAGCCATGATCTCTGCAAACTTTTTTTTTGCAAAGTTTTTTTTTTGATTTCATATAAAAGACTATCGTTAACTACAAACAATACAAAATGGTAGTCCTTAATTGATGTAACGACCTATTACCAAATTGATGATATCTTCGCTTAAGTATTTTTCAATCACATAAATAAATATTTCCAGTTAATTGAACATCACGTATTCGCGGAAAGGATCTTTCATCTCCTGTAATATAAAAGCTGAATGTTTTCTAGGTAATGGCCAATTCCATTTGGTTCTTTTTTTGGAATCGTAAAACAGAACGCGGAGTGTGTAGCATTTAATACAGAAAAATCGCAATATGTAAAGCAAAACAACGATTCTTTCCACTTCTATGGCTTGTTTTATTTTCTATCTCCAACGGAAAACGTGCTCATTCAAGTTATATTTGGAACAAGAACTGTGTTTGAGATGGCATGAAAAATCTACACTTTTTATTAAATTCGACGAGAAACATGAATTTATGTCAAGGTAAAAAACGAAAATATCAATTAAACATTTTTAAAAGAACAAATAAATAGTTTTAATTAATTTCTCTACGTACCACACGTTGAGATAATAATTAAAACTAACTAATAAATGAAAAAAAACATTAAGTTCATAATTATTTAAAATTTCTTAGGTACAATTTAAGCATTGTTTCGTAATAATATTTACCGCACTGGTAGAGTGGCTGTATCAGGTCGAAGCAGATGGTTTTTTTTTGTTTTCCCACACTTATTAAATCAAATACACATCTTTATATAATTATTAACATTAATTACTAATTTACATCAAATCCCCTCTAAAAAAAGTTCATATGTAAAACAGCGATCTAAAGATAATGGGGGACATTGTCTGTGGTAACTATATACCATTGATATAATAGTACTACGAACTGCAAACATACTTCTATGTTTATATATTCTAGGTATGCCTTGCACTTGTATGAAGAGCAAAGCACTATTTTACAATCCTAGAGGCAATAAACTTCTAATGTAATTTCTATGTGTTAACAACATTTTAGAGCGCGCTATAGCAACTTGTTTCCAACTATAGAAGTTAGGAAAGCGTCGTTATCGTCTAAATCGGTAACACGCTTTGGGAATATGGCGGGTACTAGTGATGTGCGAAACTAATGATTGGTGATTTCGGATAATAATAATAATAGGTCTTTTTATTTCGTGTTTTACAGTAGTTGTTGGTTATAATATTACATTAAACATAATTTTTATTCATAATTGAAATGCAAATATTATGTTAAAGATACTCATAAGTTAACCCGCATTAGGTATAGGCCTTCCAAAGATTGTAACATAAACATGTTAGTGTAAGTGTGTAGGTTAAAATAATAGCGTAAAATGATGTAGATAATAGTTATACATACGAGCATACCTATTGCAGAAGTTATTTTAGTAATATGTATCAAAATGTTTAATTGTTGTAAATCTAGATTAAATATAAGTGTATTTCCACCATATTACCATTGAATAATAAAAATAGATCAAATATTGCAAGATGTGCGAAGCAAATAAACTAAGATGTATTAATAATATTATTACTCGAAGCTTAAGATTAAATATATAAATTCGGCTAATTCATGTATTCGGTTTATACTTACTTTCGGTTTCGGATTACTAACTTAATAACGTCTCTAGATGACAACTAGATATGACACGAAACATTATTCTTGTTGTAGGTAGGTACTCCGGTCTCTCGGTCGAGCGCCTAATTTTCATAGAAGCGACGTTATAATGAGGTCTCAGGAAAATACCTCGTTAGCTAGAAAAACATTGTTTTACCTATATAATGGAAAG